CATCACTTACAGCCAATGTTTTGGTAAACGGTTGAATTTTGGCATTGAGTGCAATCAGTAACGGATGCCTAAATGTTTAACATCGAAGAACTGATATTTGCGTACCTGATGCATGAATAAGCAAAATTTTCGAATTGAATCGATTTCGAACCGATTCGAGTCGCTTTTGAATCGATTCGGTTCGAAAACCAGATCTATTGTGCACACTTATGCACAATCAAAGCCAATCAGGCCACAAGTTAACAATAATAGTTTTCCTGGTTACCTGAACTGCGAGATCCCATCCAGCCTGCACATCTTGCTTCGCAGCAAAGTACCCAAAAACCGTTGTCGGAAGAAGGGGATGCACAATTAAAACCATAAAATGAATTAGTACTTGAATGTGCCAAGAATAACGTCGAAATGAGAGGAAATGCTCTTCGGGGAGGATTGATTGTTGTCGTTGAAATACGGCCATCGCTAACACAGATACAGTGAATGTTACCAAAAATGTCCCAAATAACTGATAATGAAAAGCTTTTGGAATTTTTACTTCTCAAAGCAACTTTAGCACTTCCAAATCCAAATCAAAACCAAACAATCCAAATTCTTCCTTTATTAGTCGAAAGTCGCAGGAAAATTCGAGTCGGAAGGCGCACTATATTTCTTAGCTAACATACTGGTTCAAGATTTAATTCTTAATGCCTGAAAATTTTATTATTTGCACAATTTTTCCTTTTGCCTTAAACCCCTAACTGACGTCAGAGCAATGTTTCTCTTTGTTAGTGAACTTTAAAAGTAAATTTTTGAAAGCGTTTGTAGCTGGACATGAGAACATGAAAATGGGCATGAGAACGCACCGAGTGCTGGTCCTTTTTCTCACCAAAATTTAGCGAATCATTTGACTTTTGCTCAAATCTTTTAAAAAATTTCAAAAAATATAATTTATCGATAAGATTATTGACTAACTATTATGCAGCTTGAGTATGTGAAGTCAATTTTGTTTCATTTATATAAGAATGAGATTATTCTCGTATCTTTCTTGACAGTAGTTTTACAAGGTTTGTTGGAAGATTTTTGCTATTTTACGATCAAATCCAGCAAGCGCTATTCTTGTACAATTTTGTGCTGAAAATGATTGGACTATTTTGGACTACGATTTGCTGATCGACATCGAGTACGAGTTGGAAGCAGACATTGTAGAGCATATTTCGGCTGGAACACTTTTGGTAAACTTTAGAACATTCTGGGGCACTTTGTAGCTTTATTAGGCTGTTATATTTGGCTTGATTATGACTCATATAAGATTGTCGTTTAATTCTTAAGAAAATTTATCTAGGTTGTTGTGCTCGGCTTGATTGTGACTCCATTTGCGATTTATTTCTCTGCGACCAACGATCGACTCACATTTTCGATTAGGTAACGCTCAATTTGTGATATCTAAATCAATAATCATTCTAAGCCAACAGAAATAAGAAAAATCTGGTGCGCTTAAAGATATTGAAACTTTTAACAGGCTGATTCAATTTGAACCACAAAATTATAAAGTCTACAAGATGTGAAAATGGACCTTTTATCTTGTCCTGTTCAAAGCTATAGTTTTTGTCAAAAACTTCAATTCTAGACTTTTGGCAACAGTCGAAAGCATTTGCAAATTTGTCTACATCATCGCTTTTCTTCTGCTAAACATCTGTGATTTTTTGAAGCAATATTTGAAGAAGCACTTTACTTGCTCAGAAAACCTTCGCCTAACTTTTATCGATATTTATGTATTCACCGTCAATGACTACAGTTTTTATGATCTTGCGCAATTTTGCCAGCTAATCATCTCATTAAGCCGATTTTTCGCAGTCTCTTTTGATGGAAGCTATTTCAAATACACGTCGAGATTACCATTCTTACAAGTTCTGCTACCATTTGTGCTTCGAATTCTGCTCACCACTGTAAAAAAGCTCAAGGGTGAATACGCATGGGGATTCTCAGCGATTGATAGCTACATTATACCGTTTTTCTACTTTCTAACGTGTGCTCTAGATTTGATGACGAATCGGAAAATGAAGACGGTAGGTTTATACAGTTTTTCTTTAGAGCCCATCCGTTGAAAACCATACATTACAACCATACAAGCTAAGCCGTCTTTGTATTCACAAGCATGTCTTCAAAATTCAGCTGAGACGAGACGGAAAGGCATCAAGAATTGAGAACTTATTAATGTTCCAGGTGAGTGCGTTCAATTTTTGAGAATCTTAAAGAAAGTTTGTGTTTAAAAGCTGGATGCATTTCACTTTCGATTTCTTTTTTCTCTTAGCAACATATTTTGTTTCAGATGCTGTGTAATACATTCATCATTCTCATCAACACAATATTACTTTATGCTGTACTCCTAATTATTGAGCTCTTCTTTAGCTTGAGTATAATCATGGTCTACAGCGAGCTGCTCATTTTCTTAAAGACACTGTTTTTTACGTTGATTACGAGGTGAAACAGGATTTTAGGCAGCCAAATACCGAATTTAGTTTGACTAGTGCCTTATTTCTTCGTAAACCGAAGGAAGAACCCAGACGGAACACAGTGTCAATCACCGTTTCACCTAGACCATCAAAAACTCGCTCACTAACTTAGTTTTGTTCATTGATGTTTGAATCAAAAAGTTTTTCGCCATGATAAAAACCAATTTGAAGAGAGGCTTTTAGGAGTACTCGCAACTTTTCACTTTGCACATTTATTAGCTGAATATCTTCAACATCTTCAATATCAACAGCTTGACTTTTTCAGATAGCAGAGATTGCCACAGAAAGTTGAGCCGGTTGGGCACAGGCCACCAGCAGGCACTGAAATAGATTATATGAACAGCCTAATAATAACATCACTTACTGCCAATGTTTAAGTAAACCGCTGGATTTTGGTAGGCCGAACAATCAACTTCCTTTTTCAGATAGCAGAGACCGCAAAAAAAAAAAAAAAAAAAAAAAAAAAAAAAAAAAAAAAAAAAAAAAAAAAAAAAAAAAAAAAAAGGGGGGGGAAAAAAAAAAAAAAAAAAAAAAAAAAAAAAAAAAAAAAAAAAAAAAAAAAAAAAAAAAAAAAAAAAAAAAAAAAAAAAAAAAAAAAAAAAAAAAAAAAAAAAAAAAAAAGGGGGAAAAAAAAAAAAAAAAAAAAAAAAAAAAAAAAAAAAAAAAAAAAAAAAAAAAAAAAAAGAAAAAAGGGGGGGGGGAAAAAAAAAAACACAGAGAGTTGAGCCGGTTGGGCACACGCCACCAACAGGCACTGAAATGGACCAGTTTTTATACAATCTGTCAAAAAAGTATGGACGCACCTTGTTTTTTGCTAGTTTGGAGCCGGACATAAGTGCTGGTCCAAGAGAAATGTATTTTTTTAGTTTCTTTAATGTAAAAAAACAATCCATGGAAAATTTGGAGTCATTTCACTTATCCAAAGTACTTTATCGTAGAAAGAACGTTTTATTAGCCGTCAAAAAATTATAGAAGCAACTTGAATTTGACGATTTATTCTATGGATTTTCGTTAGTTTTTTTTCTCATTTTTTTTTGCTTATTAGTTATGGTTATAAATGTTTTTTTCATTTTCAGATATGCCACTTGGAAAACAACTGGATGTGGTGGGAAAAACGCGTATCAATGTGCTCCACACGCTTGATCACTCAAACAGAGACATTGCTCGTCGCATCTGAGAAGTGTATTCGCACGTATCTCAAGACCAAAGTGACTCCTAAGAAGAAAGAAACACGGGCTGGAAGAAAAAGTAGACCGATCAAGACGAACGCGCAATTACGAGACGTCTTTCCAACACGATGACATCACTCGAAGAGGTTCGCAAGGAGATGAAGCTTCCGGTCACTCGCCAAACTGTGCACAACGTTGTCAAGCGATCCTCAATACTCAAATACAAACTCATGAAGCAAGCTCCACAACTTACAAAGGACCATAAAGCCGCCCTTATCGATTTCGCTCAAAAGAACCAGAAGACCAAATGGGAGGGAGTTGGTTTACTAGTATTTCTTATATTTGTGTTTAGATCATTTGGAGTGACGAAAAGAAGTTCAACCTTGATGGTGCTGATGGTTTTCGAGGATATTGGATGGATTCACAAAAGCCGGGCATGGTCTTCAGCACGACGAACCTTGGAGGTGGATCATGTATGGTATGGGGAGCCTTTCGAGACGGTGAGCTGGCCGGCTTAGGGTTTCTTTCGACCCTGATGACATAGCTTGACTACAAGTGTTTGACAAACATCTAGCCGTCTATCTGAACAACAATCCGGGCAATAACTTTACTTTTATGCACGATAACGCGAGTATTCATGCAAGTTGCTCCAGAAGAGATTGGCTGACAAAATTGAAAATCGACACTCTCGCTTGGTCCACTTGCAGCCCCGACTTGAACCCGATTGAAAATGTGTGGGGGACAAATGTTCGAGAGATCTACAACGGAAACAAACAATATTTGAACGTAGCTGAACTCAAGAAAGCCATAAGTAGCCTGGAACCGGCTTTGGGTTCGGCTTAGGGTTTGTTTCGACCCGGATGACATCGCTTGACTACAAGTGTTTGACAAACATCTAGCCGTCTATCTGAACAACAATCCGGGCAACAACTTTACTTTTATACTTTGTTTCAGATGTTGTGTAATACATTCATCATCCTCATCAACTCATAATTATTGAGCTCTTCTTTGGCTTGAGTATAATCATGGTCTATAGTGAGCTGCTAATTTTCTTAAAGAGACTGTTTTTTACGTTGATTACGAGGTGAAACAGGATTTTTGGCAGCTAAATACAGAATTTAGTCTGACTAGTGCCTTATTTCTTCGCAAACCGAAGGAAAAAGCAAGAAGAAACACAGTGTCAATCACCGTTTCACCTAGACCATCAAAAACTCACTCACTAACTCAGTTTTGTTCAATGATGCTTGAATAAAAAAGCTTTTCGCCATGCCAAAAACAAATTCGAAGAGAGGCTCGCAACCTTTACCCTTTGCACATTTATTAGTTTCAGTATCTTAAATCACAATTTTTTCAGATAGCAGAAATTGCCACAGAGAGTTGAGCCGGTTGGGCACACGCCACCAACAGGCACTGAAATAGAGCAGTTTTTATATGAACAACCTAATAATAACATCACTTACAGCCAATGTTTTGGTAAGCGGTTGGATTTTGGTAGACAGAACAATCAACTCCCTTTTTCAGATAGCAGAAATTGCCACAGAGAGTTGAGCCGGTTGGGCACACGCCACCAACAGGCACTGAAATAGAGCAGTTTTTATATGAACAACCTAATAATAACATCACTTACAGCCAATGTTTTGGTAAACGGTTGGATTTTGGTAGACAGAACAATCAACTCCCTTTTTCAGATAGCAGAAATTGCCACAGAGAGTTGAGCCGGTTGGGCACACGCCACCAACAGGCACTGAAATGGACCAGTTTTTATCAGAACCGCCTAATCATAACATCACTTTTAAACTTTTATTGAAAATTTTTTTATTCTTTGCAAAATCACTTCTGCCGAATGGCCCAATTTTTTTGCACCACACTGTATGAACACCTTAATCTTAACATCACTTACAGCCAATGTTTTGGTAAACGGTTGGATTTTGGTATTGAGTGCAATCAGTAGCGGATGCCTAAACGTTTAACATCGAAGAACTGATATTGCCATACCTGATGCATGAAAAAGCAAATCACCGTGGCTACAAGAAGAATTTTCATTGGTAGAACTTGATTAGAAGTGAGAAGATAGAAGCAAAAAGTTAGTGAGCCTTAAAAATCCTGACTTAGCTCAATTGGTGACCTTTAAAGAGCCATTCGCAGTTGTTCAAATAAAGAAATTATTCGCCAATTCAAACTTGTGGGTCAGCAAACAATTATCAAAGAAAACTTTTAGTACGACCTAGAGTGGGCATTCTTTAGCCATCTAGTAAAACAATGGCTTTACTCTGAACGGATCAAAAGTCAGATAGTATCGAAAAGTTTTTGGAGGTTGCAGTTAATGTGCAAAACCTTCGAGTGAACTGCCCAATAGTCAGCAAGGGAAAATCCCGTTTTTTTGTTGGGATGTATTTTTTTCACTCTCTTAAAATTTTACTAACACTTATCATATTATAAATCGCAGCTCTTGAAAGTATGTTGAGCACTTGTTCAAACAAAAAGCTTTATTGACCAGATAAAGTGTAGAATTGTGCTTTCAAGTAAGGCGTGCATGTTCGACCAAAAAGTAGATGAATTTTACAATATTGTACCAGTTTTATAACACTATTAGATCAACTTTTACGATTCACTGATGGCACAACCAAACTAGATTGAATCGACGTTTTTTGTGAGGGTAAATTGAAAGCAATAATGATCAGACTAAATAGCTTTCAGTTGATTTTCATTTCCCAAATCTTTTACCTCAAAGCACAATGTCCAACGAATGGTTCGCCTTTCAAGAAAAAGAAGCGTCCATAGCCGACAAACTTCCAGTGAAGAAAGAGGTGAATTGTATCCTCCCAAAGCCAAATTATCCCAGTTAGAAGCATCTGAAAAGCAATTTGATTTTGAGAGTCGGTTTTTGTCCGACCATGATTGAAAGCTTCAAATCCATTCGTTGTCGATGAGCGGAGGTGTTAAGCTGAAAAGGATTTCTTGAAAAGAAAAACCAAGGTTCTCTGATCCAACAAAGCTACAAAATCTCTAGAAAATTATTGCAAATTGCTAGCTATTTACAGCTTTCCCTTACCACAACACGAATTCCAATGATTGTGATCAAATCCAAAATCAAGGCGAAAATCGTAAAGCCAAATATTACATGATCAAATGTTTCATCTTTGAAATTGGAGAATGAACTCCCGGAGTACCAAGATTGCATTCGAAATTCGCCAGGGGAGAGATAGGGACCAGAATAACAAACAAATCCATTATCCGCTTTCACTTGACAACATTTCTAGAGGATTTTCTGCTTTTGAAACTTACAATTCTTAATCCCAATCAGATAGAAGGCGCTTGGCACAATTGAGCATAAAATTGTGTAGGGGACGAGGAAAATTTGGGTTTTAGAGTAGTATCGTCCTTGGAAGAAGACAGCAGAGATTCTGGATAAAAGAAAGTTTTGAAATGATTCAAATAACAAACCGGTTTATTGAAAGACAATGAAGAAAAAGTTGCATCGAGTAGACGAGACCCATCTCAAAGCACGAGATTACTTGATTGAGGAAAATTCCAGGAATTAATCCGTCAGTGTTGACACATTGCCACCTGGAAATGATCTTTGACTTTTGAAAATTTCAATTGAAAACAAAGCAACGATACAAAACAAAAGTTTGTTTTGGGGTTTAAATTTTTCTAAAGCCTAAATGATTTAGCTAATAATTTTGTACAAGACATTGGGGTTAAAAGGAAAACATCAAAACCCTCTTTTTAAAAATCTTTTTCGACTAAATTCGAGGCTTTTGGCGACTAGGCGTGGCTCTTTTATCTTGCATTCCGCATCTGCTTTCTCTAAATCCTCTAGAGCTTTTTTCGTAAATCGTGTGACTAAAGTTTGGAATGCCCTTCCCGACAAGTTGCGTTTGATCTCCACCGTGTCTGATTTTAAAAGGGCTATTTCGTTGCATTTTAAGTGACTTTGTGATCTTTTATCTGGTACATTTTTCATTTCGTTTTCGCACTTTATTTCTTTCTGAATAAAGTATTTATATTATTGGATTTCGAATCTTTTCGTCTAAAGGGTGGCGCACAATTATGGAAACTCGGTTTTTCGACTCTAATTCGAAGCCCAATTATTCGATTTTCCTACTTTCATATTTATATGAAATTTCAAGTTAATTTCAAGGTAATTTTAGCAATTTTTAGTTCAGAAACACAGAGTCACGTTTTTTATAGCGATTCAAAGTTCGGAGGCGCCAACCTGTCGGCAGAATCGTTGTTGGGTAGGAAGGATCTCCCGCTTGGTATTTATTCATTTTTGCTTTCTATTAAGAAATAGAATGGGAACCAGTAGATTACTAGGTTTAGAGCTTTTGTATAAGTTTAATGTTAAAAAGGAAACACACTTATCAATACGCCCAACGTTAGCAACACCCTGTAGTTAACTAGTGCTTTTAGACCAGTTCGAACAATGAGTGTATTGCTTCTATTGGGTTTAGATATTGTTTGATCTTTAGCAAAATTTGTGTATGATTTAGCAAGATATCTTTTACACCTATTGCAACTCACGTTAGCACACATGATCCAAAGTAGATATAAAGCACCGCTTCACAAAAACGCCACAAATTATCAATCAACAGTATGAATTTGACGCTTTTCGAAAGACTTTCTTTTCGTTGGAAAATGATTCGAGCACAGATTGGATGCAGGATTAGACCGATTACTCCTAGCTGGAAAATGGAAAAGTAAAAACCTTTGTGGATTGTGGATTCTTTCTTTCTTCCTTTCTCTTTCCCCTTGTATTTCCTCTTCTCTGGTCAGAGAATACCGGAGCTCAGTGGGAGCTGCCTGGAAAGCTGAAAGCTCGAGACTGTAGTTCAATCCCCTCTCCGGGAATCTTTCATTTCCATTCCTTCCTTTATTAGGTTGGTGCAAAAGAAATTTCGGTCGATATAAAATGTTCTTATTTTTTTAATCTGAAGAGCTTATTTGATGTTCTTTTGTGCATTTGTACTCTTGGATATTTACTTTATTTTCGCATTTTTTCAAAGTCAGAGCTTTCACTTTTTAATTGATTTTTGCTTTAGATCATGGTGGATCAAAAGTATGTTCTGCACACGTGTCTTCTCTATGACTTCAAAATGGGCAAAAACGCTGCTGATTCACATCGTGATCTCTGTTCCGCCTTTGGAGAACAGGTTATCACCGAAAGATCATGCCAGCTCTGGTTTGCCCAATTCCGAGATGGTAATGAATCCCTTGAAGACGAATCGCATGGACATCGTGCCACAGCCATCGACAACAATGAATTGGAACAACTAATTGAAGCTGATCCAATGCAAACAACACGAGAACTTGCCAAACATCTCCAATGTGATCATTCAACAATTGTACGCCATTTGGAAATAATTGGAAAGACAAATCGTAATGGACAATGGGTTCCACATCAATTGAGTGTTGAGAATCTGGGAGCACGCGTTCCGATCAGCCATATCTTGCTCCAGAAGTCGAAAAGAAGCCATTTTTTTTGAGAATATCTTGACGATGGATGAGAAGTGGATTCACTTTGATAATACTTCTCGAAAAAGACAATGGCTGAGCAAAGGTCAAGCGCCAATTCGAACTCCAAAACCGGATTATCATGGGCGCAAAGTGATGTTGTCTTGCTGGTGGAATATCAATGGACTTGTTCATTTTGAATTATTAGAGCCCGGAAAAACAGTCGATTCATCTTATTTTATTCAACAACTCAAGAAGGTTGACGAAATTTTGCGTGAAAAAGGCCTAAATCCCTCAACTATCAACTTTCTCCGTGATAATGCTCCAGCTCACACGGCAAAAACCTCTTGTAAGGAACTAGAGAAGCTAGGATGGAAGGTCTTACCATATGCGCCGTATAGTCCAGACTTAGCACCCTCCGATTTTCACCTTTTCAGATCGATGCAACATTCCCTTGAGAATTGCCAGTTTAAGAATGCAAAAGAAGTCGAAAATTGGGTGACCAACTACTTTGCATCACAGAATCAAGCGTTCTTTGAGAAGGGGATCCGCAATCTGTAGCAACGTTGGAGGGATGTCATAGATAATAATGGTGCTTATTGTTTTAAATAAATTGTTATCAAAAAAAATTTTGGATGACTTTAATGTTTGTAAAAAAACGAAATTTCATTTGCACCAACCTAGTACTTTATTACTAGCTTACCGAGAAAAACGAAATGATCACTAGTCGACTTATCGACGAAAGGTTTGGACTGTCCATATGAAGTGGGAGACCATTTTGTTGATAGACTACGTCACCGGTTGGGTTTAGGGCCAAAATAGCATTAGGCTGAAGGAATTGCTCGATTAGATATTTGATATACCTTAAAAATTCTAATGGAAGACCAGTCTCTAATAGAAGACCCTTTTGCAGTGGGGTTGAAAAATAGAAGACCAGTCTCATTGAAGACCCAAACTCTTAAAATGCACTATTTTGCTACCGTATCCCACTACTATCCACATTTTCTTGCAAAAATTATTGTGCAAAGTTATTATTTATTTACCAATAGTCATTTTTTGTAATTCTTGTTTCTTGTTTTTTAAATAATAATGTGTTTATTTTAGACGAGAAGCTGAGAAAGACAACGTCGAATTCTTCAAGGAACGAGAAAAGGGGAATGGAAACGAAATGAACTAAGATTCATGATTTGGATACTCTCGACAAAGAACTGCTCAAGAAGAGAAGAAAACGGAAGGCCTATTCGATCAATTTCAAGCTGAAAACAATCGAATTTGCAAAGATGATCTCGAAGAATGCTGCAAGTATGAAGTTCCAAGTCAGCAGAAACATGATTCGCGGATGGATTTCACAAGAAAAACGATTGCGGGGAATGGGAAAGTCGTGCAAGAGGTTGAAAGGAGGTGGGCGAACTTGTTTTGGATGATGAATTGGCCGAACTATGACGATTGGATGATGAATGGACATCAGGAAACCACAAAAGGAGGCAATGTCAAGGCTCCATCAATGAACAACTACTTACAATAGATCAACGACGTTTGGAATCATTAAGACGAGAATCTCATCGCTGGATCGTTCAAATCGTGCGGAATGACGATTGCTACCGATGGATCGGAAAACGATGAAAACTCGGGTTTACGAGTAAATAAAATTTTAACTGAGTTTTTACTTTATAAGACTTTTAATGTATTAACGTTTTTATTAGCTAAAGGTGCGGTTCCAGAAGCGGCCTCGAAATTGCTTCAAGCCCGAAATGATGAGATGGTTGCTTAATTGTTGGATGAGATTGATCAGGAAAACAAGGAAAGCAAGCAAGCAAGCAAGGATTACGAAATTGATGTCTCGATTGAAGTCAGTGATGTTAATGAAAATGAAATCGAGGATGATTTAACGGATATGCTCGTTTGAAATCGTTTTTATGTTGATAATTATTTGTGGTTGTTGTTTGTTAATTGTTGCTTTAGATCAATGAATAAATTAATTATGAAAATTTAGTTGATTTTTGGAAATGGTTGCTTTCTAAAAGCTGTTTGATCTTTCTCTAAAGCTTTGAAGAATACAAGACCAGTCTCCAATAGAAGACCATGGTCTTCTATTAGAATTTTTACGGTACTATTGTTTTGTAGTAAAGAATGACTTGCTACAAATAGTAAAGTACAGTTTCAGAACAGTTTCACTACAGTAACAAGCTCAGGCAACAAGGCCAACATCAGTATCTTTTGATTGAAGCATTTCAAAGCTATTTAGTCTTGTCGACTTTACAGTTGCTCCTTTATCTCACTACAGTATTATTAAATAACTTTTGATTAGAGAACTTCAAAGTTGGCTAGTCTTATCGACTCACAGTTACAGTCTATTATCTTACAGTATCCCAGCACTTCACAGCTGGAATATTGTAACAAAATAAGACCAAGAGACTGAGATTTCACAACTTTATAAAAACAATTGATACGGAAAACAAATTTCTTGTATAAAACTCACTCGATATTCGCAAACAGTTTCCTTGTAGTTTTGAAGAAAATAGTTTGGATCATAAACATAATCATTGCCATAAATGTCAATAAACGTTTGATTCTGTGACATTCAGAGAGGTTTTTAGGTATGGTAAAATAAAGAAAAGTCAAATTTCAACTCGAAAAACTTCCGTCAGAAGAAATCCTTCGAGAGTTTTTGAGTCATGCCAAATTTTAAAAGATGGACTTTTGAAAACTTTTCCGAGAGAAACGCTTATTCTAGGTGTAATTTCCGTTCTGTAATTAGAGTTCTGTAATTAGAGCTACAATCAGTTTTGTATTGAAAAATTCAGATATTGAACCCTCAGAGGTCGCAATTTCATTTGAGAGCGTGATTTTAGGGAATTCTTTTAGGGAATTGACGTTTTGCTCTCGATTAGATCCTACATCGAAATGCTCTTGGGACAAAAATTAGTTAGCGAATCAAGAGTTTTGCTGGAATCACGGCTACATAAAACTTCTTGAAAAATATTATTGTAGTCTATAAAAAGAAAGTAACATTGACTATAAGTATATCTTTTTGAGTTCTGAACCCTTTGCACGGTCAACTCGTTTCGTCTTCGCGACTCATTTCTTGAGTCATAAGTTCTTTTTTTCATTATGAAACTAACGCTGGCTCCTGTGAAATCTATGAATTCAAAAATACTAACTAGATAGGATTTTTTTGTGCTCCATTCATTTTAAGAAAAATTTGATTGTGACTTTAACGCCAAGACTAGACGGTGTCCCAAAACCAATAAAACTCATGGTTTAAAAACCTTCTCAAATTTCTAAGGTAAAGTATAAAATATCTTGAGACTAAAAGCTAAAACCAGGAATTTGAGTTCAACCTACCAAAGGAGGGTGTTCCAAAATGACCCGAACCAATAAAACTCATCGTTTAAAAACCTTTTCATCGAAAAAACAAAAATTAACATTAACAAATTTATTCTCTAGATTGCTTTCAACAGTTTGATTTATTTCTTCTCGAAAATATCTTTATGGGTGGCTGCACAAGCGCTGAGACGTTTTCGGAAGCCATCGATGGTGGCCAAAAGATAAGCAGGATCGAGTTCAGCCCAAGCTTTCTGGAGTGATTATTTTCAGTGAATCAATGCTTGAATGTGCTTTTGAGCAGGCCTTTGCTTCGAGAATACTCCAGACTGAATAATCCAGCGGATTTAAATTGGGGCTTGATGGTGATCACTGTTTAAAGCTGATGAAATCCTTCTTGATATTCTTCTTTGTTCTCACGGCAGCTTTTCGGTCCCAGCCCGATCGATCAGAAGTTGTTCCAAGATCATTGTATCGATGAATTGTTTCGGAAACGACCGATTTGCCACCATCAGTTTTCGAAAAATCTCAATTGGCCGGACTCCTCTTCGAAAAAGCTCGACATAACTTGTTTGTTATGTTCAGCCCAAGCTTTCTGGAGTGATTATTTTCAGTGAATCAATGCTTGAATGTGCTTTTGAGCAGGCCTTTGCTTCGAAAACACTTTAGACTGAGTAATCTATCGGATTCAAATCGGGGCTTAATAGTGAAGCTGATGAAATCCGGGAAATTTCATTCACATCAGTCTTGGACAATTCGGGCTTTGTGGGCAGGCGCAGGCGGGCCTGTAATGAGTAAATAACATTTTTGAAAGTCAGAATTTACATAATAAACAAAAAGTAGCAAAGATAGTCAACCCAAAAGCGCATATTAGCAAAGGGCGAGAAACGGAGGTTGATTCGGGCAATTTTGGAGCATGTAAACAGTCTTAAAGTCTTGAATGTAGAGTAATGGACCTTTATTAATTGCTGCATTCAGGAAATTGGAAACCGGAAATTTGTCGGATCTTTCAGTGCTCGAGGATTAGTGATGAAATTCTTGTGCTAACACTAGAATTTGTACGATGTTTAATCTGAAGACTCATCAAAAACTTTCGTTTGATACTTTCTTCTAGTTTTTTTTCTTTTCTTCTAACCTTCTTCTTTTTAATATCTTTTCCAGCCTTCTTGCTACTTGAGTCATTTAGCAAAAGGTACAAATCCCGTAATTGAATAACGTGCAAACACAAATGAAGTTGAAACTTTTTTATTTTTCTTTGTGAAATGAATTTATTCGGGAACTGGTAGTCACGTTTTTGACCAACTTTTTTGCATCGATCTAAAATTGATAAGAACATTATTCTTGATGTTGGTAAAATTGGAAAACTGTCCCATTTCTAATTAATCAATCTAAAATGTTAAATCAACTCACAGACAGTGTAATTCTAAACTCCTCGGAGATTTCTCTGCAAAGAAAAACACAAATTCAACGCAATTAGTCGCTTCCGGGAATCGAAGAAAACTTTTCTGAATCTTATTCTTTACTTGAATTCAAACTCATGATGGATAGCTGTGCTGAGATTTCAAAATATTCAACTAATGGTTTTTTAAGGATAATGCTTGCAAGCCAAGTATTCTTTTCATTTTTGGCTTTGCTGGGGATTTTCGGAACGTCTAAACGGATTTTTACATCAATCGTTTTGGATAAAGCATTCAAAGAGCATTTATTCTGCTGTTATCTCATTCATTTCACTCAAGCATTTTCAATGTTTTTGTCACAAGTCAGTCTTGATTTTGTTGAGAAAAAATGTAAACTTTACTGATTTATTCTTAACTTATTGGCTGGACTAATTGATTTTTAAGCTATCTGATCTAATTAGTCGTTTGAACCAAATGACTAATCTTGTTTTACTTTTGAAGTCAGCAAGATAAGTTTTGAAGGTTTTGAAGTCTTTTGAAGTCAGAAAGGATTTCCTTTTGAGATGGGAACTGACTAGACTGTCCTAAATATCCTAAAAATACTATAAATTCTACTAATCCTACTAAAGAAATGAATCCGTTATCCAATTGCTCAAAAGTTGTTAATTGTTGTAAAAATAGGACGAAGATTGATAAAACTGATCAAAATTGACCATGATTATCCGAATACCCTTTCCAGGGCCTCCTTCTCTTTCAATATTTGGCAAAATCACCATGTGAAGCAACAATTTCCTCCACTTTATGTATCATTCTCCGTTTTACATGCACATTCTCCATATTCTCCTTACCAACTCTCAACTTGGCTTTAATGATCTTCCGAATTGGCTCATACTTTTGGGATCGATATTTAAGAGAAAACGAGAACAAAATTCGACGAATATTTATGCTTTTAGCGGTTAGTTTACAAAAGAAATCATTAAAAAGAAATTAGTTTCAGTTAATTTTGATCTCTGTTGAATATTATTGGAAATATTATGGATTCACCATTGTTGAAGCTCAAGTTTCATATTGTATCGTGAACAGCAAGGCTTTGGTGGACAAATCAAATCTCGAGGCCTTAGTGAGCCTCATTTTTGAAGTGATCACAATTATCATGGCAATCTTATTGATGATTTTATATCATAAAGAAAACAAGTGAGTGAGCATAGCGTTTTATGGTAACTGTGTAGTATTTTGTGCAAGGAGTTAGCATCTAGAGTGAAAGATGTAAAATAAACACCACCAATCGATTCCACGACCCCGAAAACTCCAGGCAACAAATTTTTGGCTTCAAATCTCGTTTGGGCGTCATTTTCAGACCAAAAGAAGCCCTGTGAAAAGTGATTGCGAAGTGTTCTTTGTGCGCCGCACAATTGCTCGCCATCTGGCCAACGGCCTCCCCATATAAGAGGAAAGTCGTTTCTATCTTTCGGTTTCTTTGGCATCGCTATGCCCAAATTTTTAGGATCAATTTTTCCACAAATTCTGTAAATGATTGTGTTAGTTAAACAACAGCCAAACTGAGAGAATTATACGGTATCGATAAGAAGAAAAAGATTCAAGAAAAATCGCGATAAACCCAAAGCCAAAGAAGATATAATCCGATATAATCCCAGGTTCAAAAAGTCTTGGGACATCACGGAAACTCTCGCTCGACGACAACTGGTCCAGACAATTCAATTGTTTCTTCCATATAGGTAATAGTATTAGGTTGATGCATAAGTCTTTTCGTTTTTTTCGTACTTCTGTTAAAAAGTAACAAATTCACCAATTAATCTATAGTTTTTTTGTTCAATTTTCAAAAGTGTTTTTTTGTTCAATTTGCATCTTTTTAAATCAATTTCGGTTCACTTTCAAGCAAATTCGAGAGTGAAAAACGCCTTTTTCGTAAAAATCTATAAAAAACTCTACGGAAAAATTGGCTGAATGAATTTCTCTGAAATTTTGGCAAAATATCAAACTTTTTTTCTCTATCTTTTATTTATTGACACGAAGATAGGTTTTCTTTAGCTAAGGTGTCTAAACCGCATCATCGAGTTAGCCCTTTTTGACTACCCGACTTCATACTCTCAAGAAAATCCAGGCATTAAATATTTTTAAACCCGTTTTAATGTTATTTTGCGGAAAAATAATTGGTTTTTCTAATGAAATCAACCGTAGTTTAATTGGTGCATTTGTTGGCTTGAAACGGCAGACGAAAAGGAACAAAAAGACTTATGCATCAACCTAATAGTATAAATTTTTAACAAAAATCCTTTTAGTATCCTTCATGGAATCTCATTTTCAACATTTCCCCTAATTGGTGGAGCGTATCGAACCATATTTGTCAATATTTTAGATGAAGTTTCGTATGCAGCCGGATCTGGGTTCACTTTTGTAAGTGCTGTAACAATTTATAACTAACCAAACCATTATTTTAGTCAATTTAATTAGAAAAACTTTTGGTACAGAAGAAGAAAAGTTGAATGAATTTGAGTTTTCGATTTTTGGCAAATCTCCGAAGTTCAAGTTCAATTCCTACTCTTTTGCAGATTCCGATGTATTTTGTGGTTGTTGCCCCGTGGTTAATATATTGGATTGTTTTAAAACAAGAAAAGGGACGAATCAAAAGCACAAGACATCTAATTAACCTGGAGATGCAAGCGAAAAATGTATACTTTGAGAGTTATCATAATCAATGGGAAGTTGAGGCAAAGAAAGCGGAAAGGTGAGTATTTTCTAGCAGCTTTGGCTGAATTCGCCATTCGATAAACAATACTTTTATTACGATAATCAATACTTCAAACCCTAAATCATCCACTAACAATGATCACGAATAGAAAGATTTAGAAAGAAACACTTTGGCTTCTTGAAACGACTTCGTCTCAGAAAGCTTGTCTTTTTTGTTTGAATCAAAAGAATGAATAAAGCTATGTACATAATGCATTCTTTTATACAAAATGATGACTTCTTTAAAAGACAAAACATTCTTTAAACGTTTCTCCATTCATTGTCGACTCATAGCTCATCACAACTCCATCCGGTGTTTGTTGAGGGCAACCGTCCTCAACAATTGTTGTATGTCTTTGATTTCGCAGCAAATTTTTACATTCAAGCTTGTACAAGTCTATATTCTAATGAACAATTCAAATTTTAAATCTTCGAGTCAAGTTGTATCGGTTTTACCGTGAAACTCTCCTCCTCCCTCACAAGCTCTCAAACATTTATCGTACCTCAAGTCATAAGATCCTGGTTGAGTCATAAGTCATAAGATCCTGGTTGAAACTAAAAGTTTATAAATTTTGAAATTCTATTCTTTTTTTATTTGTTTGTTTGTCATTATTTGGTCCATAAAATAAGTCACTGGGATAGATCTAAAATCAAATTGATACTCAAATCTGATAGAGAAATGGCCATTTGTAACTTTTTTCCATGCAAACTTCGATAAAGCTTGATTCAAGTGCGTGGATAAAAATGACAAAAACTTGATTGGTTCTTGTGGATTTTATCTACGCAAATTTACGTATCTGAAATGTAAACTGTGCAATTTAAGATATGTAAATGTAGTAAAAGATAGCCAAATTTGCGTTTGAATTTTCTTGCGTCAAAAAAGTACCGAAAATAGCGAGAATTTTAGGTCATTCGTCTTTCAAAGTGCTTACCGTAAAAACTCTATTAAAACCACCCCCATAATGACGGGCGTACAGTCGCGTAGTCTAACTGTTCTCCGCGCTGTTCTCCGCGCTGCTTTATGCTACAGTGTGCGCTTGGGGCTCAAATGAAAGCCCTTGAAATCTACAAGGTACGTCAAAAATTCTGCAACACAGTAAAAGCTCGTTAATAACGAAAAAACTCTTGCAAGGGGTACTTAAAAGATAATAATAATTTGTTTAGAAGATAAAAACAAAGTTTAACAATCGTTTTCGAAATATTCGCCTTTGGCTTTGATGCAAGACCGGAGACTTTCTCAAAATAACACAATGATAAAACCGAGTACATGCTCAACTTTTCTAAACGATGACACTCAAGTCAAACCTTCCTTGAAATGGGTGCGGGATAAATTTCTAATTTACAATCTTATTTTTAAAGTTTTAAGAGTAAACAATTTATTTTCACATTGATGACGAGCAAAACGCAAGCATAACAACTTTTATGGTGGTTCATTTTAGGAGTTGTTTCAAAAAGTCAAGTTCTGATTAATTCTTTATTATTTGGTAATTTTAGTCACATAAAAGGCTCAGCAGTGTGCATTCTGAGCAAAAAATGAAATTTTTGGCTTATATTCTTCTTTCAGCAATCTCGCTTTTTATGCAGTTTGTGCTTTTTGCGCTTTTTTGTGCGTTTGATTCACCTGTATTTCATTAGATAAAATTTCTTGTATTTCTGAGCCAATGTAACTTTGAGACAAAAATAGCATCAAAAGATCAAGTTTTAGATTAATTGTCTTTGTTTTGTGTCGAGTTAATCACTAAACTCGATAAATTTATTCAAGTAGACGATTTCAAAAGATTTTCAATTGAAACATTATATTTACGAATAATTGTTAACGTAAATGTAAAATTTCTGAAAAAGGTAGCGAATTTGCAAAAGCAAACAAGTCGGCAAACATTTAAAAACAACTGAATTCAAGTGAAGTACAGCCTGAGCAGATCAAGTAACAAAAAGGTAAATAGAGCCACCAATCGCCCCTGGGTTCAAATTGTTAGAAAGTCGAATATTTTGATAAACATGGTAGACACTTCATGCAGAAGTTGCTGCCAAAGAGGCATCCGTGCGATATTTTCTTACACTGGTTACTACATTGCTTACTATCCAAACCATCCACGGGCTTTTGGTGGTTGTGGTGGAGGTGAAGGTGGAGTGGAGGTGGTGAGGGTTTCGTCTCTTCCTTCACCTTGGCTCTTTCATTTTTGCTTCCACTTCTCGATCAATCTAGCAGTTGTTTAGTTTTAGTGCAAATCTAAACATTATCCCTTACCCTTTCTTGTTTTCGTTTTTCTTCATCTGCAGCTAATCGCATCTTTTCGATCTCGAGGTTGGCGAGGCTTTTGCTGAAATCAAACATTCTTATAATTATTCGAAAACAACAAAGAATTTGTCGAGCATAAAATCAAATGACAAACGTTCTTTTGAACAGCTAGCCTTGCCTCCTCCAACCGAATTTCCCGCTCAGCAGCAGCTTGACTTCGACTAAAAAATGATAATAAAACACAACACAAATCTCATTTCTTATCCTTTATTTATAAAAAACAAACCGTTCAGTAGCTTCTTGCATCTGTTGCATAACCATCCACATCGGATTATTTCTCAAGTCGTTCATTTTTCCCTTCAAGTTCTCGTTTCTTTACTTCATTGTCTAAATTTTTTTTGAACAACAATTTTCTTCAAAGTTTACCTAATTTCTCTTTTAACTCGTTGACATATTTCCTTTCCTGATTGCAACTTTCTTGAAGAGCTTTGACTTGTTGGCTATGTTTCTGATGATGATTGGCGAGTTTTTGCTTGATCTTTTCAATCTGGATGTGTTTTCTGACATTGCTCATGAATGTGTCTTCACATTTCTAAATAACATAAACTTTATTGTACTTTAGAACAAATTCTAGGAAAAATATCATTTTTCTATTCTTTATTTTTGTATCCCAAAAGTTACAAACCTTGAACAAATCGACACTTTTCTCATTGTAATTGTCGATGATGTTGTTGATCAGTTCAATGTCCAATTTAGGCATTTGTTCCTTTATTTGGATAGCAAATTTTGCCTGTAACAGTAATCAAATTCTAGCATGTCAAATTTCTTTGTTTAATTTCTCTAAACCTACTTTCTCAACATTGTAGTTCGCCTCAAGCAATGCTTTGATTTCCACAATCTTCTCCTCTGCTTGATCCATTTTGTGCACTTGCACCACCGACTAAAATCTTGAAATTTTGAAAGCAATCTTTTTCTATTACACCTTTCTCAACTCTGTCTCGTAAAATTCAAGCAATTCGGCAATTTTCTTGGACAGATCCGAGTTTATCTGCGAGACGAAACTTTCTTCCTCCAGGTTGGCGAAACAACTCTGTAAATAAGACCTCAATCCGTGCTTTTGATTATTTTGCACGTCATGCCAAATTTGCATTTAAAAGCAAAAGGTAGGATGAACAGAGCAATAGCGAATCGATGATAGAATGAAATATGATTGCGAAAGGTGAACCGCGTCAAGACTTGTTAGAGAGAGATAAACACTTTGGATAAGAAACGAATAAAAATACGACTTCGCGCGTGCGTGGCGTACAAACTAGTCAAAAGTACCCGTCAATATTTTGTTTATGTCAAAAATTTCAGGAATTATAAGTGTTTAGATTTATTGAAGCCATTCATTTTCACATCACTAACCTGGATCTTCTGTCTATAGAGCCCTCTTGTCATTGACGAGACTCTCTTCATCATTAAAAGGTTCCACCGCTAAATTTGTTAGGTTAACCCACACCTCCTCAATAGTACAATGATCAAAAAAGTATTGGCACCTTCTCAAAAATTTCACATATCGATTAAAAACTTTTTCTCCTATCCATTTTCAATCAGATTTAAATTGCTAGATCTATGGTTAAACATGGTTGAAAACGAATATAGTCCATTTTAAAGGCAAGCTCACGCAAAATAAGCAAAAGTCGGACCTCAAACTTTCAATCATGTCTTCGATCTTTTAAATCTCCGCCAAAAGGATTACTCCCAAAAAGGTATTAAGTGCCAAATTACTTCTAGTTTTCGAAAAACAAAGCCATTTCACCTGGCTGACTAATCTAAAAATTTTGGCCATGAAACGCCCTGTTTTCCAGTATAAATGGGTATTTCAGAGCTCAAAAACTAAAAGAGCTATCGACAAACTGTTTTCAGTTTCAAATTCAGCATCATTAAATCATTAAAAGACAGTTAAAACTTTCTTGGTAGGAAACAAATCCTACGGTGAGAAAACACAAAGGTGTCAATACTTATTCTGGCCAATTTTTGCACATATTCTGTACTTTTGAATCTTTCTCCTTGAATAAAACGTTCAATATAAAAGTTTTTCTATTTATAACAAGTTTAGTTCTTGTATTAGGTTGATGCAAAAGTCTTTTTCATTTTTTCGTCTGCCGTTTCAAGCCAACAAATGCACGAATTAAACTACGGTTGATTTCATTAGAAAAAACCAATTATTTTTCTGCAAAATAACATTAAAACGGGTTTAAAAATATTTTATGCCTGGATTTTCTTGAGAGTATGAAGTCGGGTAGTCAAAAAGGGCTAACTCGATGATGCGGTTTAGACACCTTAGCTAAAGAAAACCTATCTTCGTGTCAATAGATAAAGATAGAGAAAAAAAAGTTTGATATTTCGCCAAAATTTCAGAGAAATTCATTGAGCCAATTTTTCCGTAGAGTTTTTTATAGACTTTTACGAAAAAGGCGTTTTTCACTCTCGAATTTGCTTGAAAGTGAACCGAAATTGATTTAAAAAGATGCAAATTGAACAAAAAAACACTTTTTTTATAGAGCAAACTATAGATTAATTGGTGAATTTGTTACTTTTTAACAGAAGTACGAAAAAAATGAAAAAGACTTTTGCATCAACCTAATAGTATCTCAAAATTTAAACCGATTGAAAATTTATGGATAGGAGAAAAGTTTTTGATCAATATGTGAAATTTTTGAGAAGGGTCAATACTTTTTTTGGCCATTGTATATATGATTCCTGGTTCTATTTCATATTTACTGTACCCGTCTCAAAATTGTCCATGGCTTGTCTATGAGCTTTCTCATGTTTCTCCCTCAACCGCTCCACAGTTTGATTGCCTTGCAACAAGTCTTTGAAGTTTGGCTAAAATTATAGGCTAAAATTGTAGGCAAGTTAGTGTCTTATACATTCAAAAGCAGTTTTAACTTTTGTAAGAATAACTTCAAATCTTCACCCACCCGCATCATTCCCTCGTACTTATCATAGCTGCCATCTACAGCTTCACTCATTTGTCGATCCCGAAAGCGGTCTCGATTCGACTTCGATCTTTCAGCACACCGATCCTAAATGTTATCACTACAATTGTAGCATATCTAGAGATCCGATTTTGAATTCCCTCTCAATGAACTAACTTACCTCCAAATATCTTTTGAACTCAGCAAATACTCGTTCCTTTTCTTCCTGACTCCCAAAAAGCGTTTTTGCTGTTGTACACCTGAAAACGGTTACAAAATGTTACGTCAAATGCAATCACATTAATCGATGATGTCACAAGTTCTTTCAGTTGATCATCAAACTTTTGTGGCACAACCGAGCGAGAATCGTTCTTTTTAACCAACTAAATAGAAAGAGTCTTGGAAAACGACTGATCAAAAACCTCGTCATAATCAGAATTAAACTGTTCAATCCCAGCAGTTCGTGCCCTTTCCAAAGTATAATTCTTTTGTCGCCTAAAAATTTGTTTCTATACAAATTTCCTGGAAATCTTACGCTAAATGCCGTGCCGATTCCTTTGAGATCAGCGTTTTTCAAGTGTGCAACGAGATTCTGAAAGGGGTTTTCGTTAAAACCTTCGCATTCAAAGTCATGGGTAATTTTGTTTTTACCAACCTTGACATATTCTTGAAGGGTGAGCCCGGTGAGTCGAACGCCCATCACTAATTTTGGCTCCAGATTCTGCAAGATGTCATTTGCGCAGTCGCATAGTCCGGACAAAAACTCTTCTCCACAATCTGCAACAATAATATGTTGAGATTTTATAATTTCTTCATGCCTCCAGCTTTGATCTCTCCACTAGCGTTGATCACGTGTTCAGCTGGCCTTTTGACCATAAAGCATTGAACTTTCTCAAAGCTTGTGAACAGCCCTTGCACAAGGCGTTTCACGTCATGGGCATTCATTGATGCATTCTTAATACGCTTTGGTTTTACCACTAAATGTTACTTACCCGAATATGAGACAAATATTCATTTCCTTGCTCGAAACCAGAGCAATTCGCGTCACGAACCATTAGAAGGAAATTCTATTTTGAATCGAATTTTAAAATCAAAAAGTTTTCACCCACTTGTCCGATCGCTTTATCATTCATTCTCGAATACTCAATGAAGAGATTAAGCGCGTCCAAATCTTGCGCGTCAATCTGGCTCCTGGTGTTGAAAATCTAGATAATAGTGATATTTTCCATCTACTTATAGTTAGGTAAACCTTGATCGAAGACATCAGCAATGAGATGACGAAGATGATCGCCGAGTGAGCTGGATTTGTTTGACAATCATATGTGCCTTGGGTATCCATAAGGATTACAGCTATCTAAAGCCATGCAGTTTTTGAAAAGATATCAAATAAAGGATTTAGACTCACATCTTCACCATTTTTGTCCTTGCGAATGAAGACTTTCGGCCAAACCATAATCCCAGCGGTGTGCCGACTCCATCCACCCTTGAAACGAATCCCGTTGTGACCACTGAAAATTCTTTTTAGCTGTATAACAAGCTTGAAATTTTATTGGATGGCTTATTTAATTCAAATCTGTATTCACCCAATGTACTCTGTTGTTTTAAAAATGGCAACTCCATTCTGTAAACCCTTCAACACGATGTTGTTCCAAAATGTCTTCCCGCCACGGAATTTCCCCGTCGTCGAGATGATTGCAATCTGTAGACAAAAAGATTAAATATATTTTACGCCCTCTTTGAATGAGGATTCATCTGAAACTAACAGGCAATGATCCCGCTTGTTCGCATAGACTTTCCAGCAGCGCTCGATTGAAATGAGTTTGTCCTTCCTCGTCGATGTCAAAAAGTTGCTCCAAATCAATCTCGATAGTATAATACTGAATCAGATGAAGTTGAAGTTACATTTCTAGATAATCAAATAAATTTATTAAACCTTACTAACCTGAGCCTTTACGGGTTAGGTAAGCTGTAATAAATCTGTACCTGTTCTTCGATCGAAGCTGCAGCGCTTGTAGCCTCTTCGAACTTGGAGGGTGTAGGTGATACTTCAGCCTGAAAACGTGCACTGAATTTTAAAGTTAAATGTGTAAATACTAGCAAACTTTGGTACTTTATAGTATCGTGGAGGGCTGTGTTTCAATTCTCTCTAGAGTTACTCTTTTAGAGGATGTCAAGGAGAGGTCTGAATTCAGGACTGATTCTCGTTAAAACCAAATTCTCAGCAGGTGGTTCTAGTTCATATAATTTTTGATGAATTTTCATGTAGAAACGATTAAAGTTACTTGTTTTATCAATAATTTGTTGGGTATTAAATGATGAAATCAGCTTTCAGGTCGTTCAGTGCCGCATAACGGCACCAAAAGCGCAAAACACCCAGTCGCTCTCGCTCCTTCCCTTTGAGGATTGAAGGGAAAGGCCCATAGATTACGCTTTCGGGGCTTTCGGGGTCGGGGAATCAAGTGGAGCCATTCTTTTTAATGAGTCTATCAATTTGAACGTTTAATCGATCCGAATTTGTATCCCTCCTTTAAGAAGGAGGGAGTCTCTGGTGCAAATGACTTCTATGCCTATGCTTCATAGATTTATTCCCAATATTATTGGGTTGGTGGGTATGAAATATCTTAGGTGGAAGATTATCAATAGCCACAGCAAACATTGACAAAATTTCAGAAATAACCAGAAGTTAGGAAGCCCGGTTTCATTGTGTTTTGAAAAAGTGTTCTTAACTTTCTCAGTTTCACGCAACAGCACCCACCTCCGTTTTGTTTACGAGTTTAGGGATCAATCGGAAAAATAGAGAGATTTCATACCCACCGACCCAATATTTGAGTTTCATTTACAAATACTTACCAGCTTTTGTGAGGATTCGGCGCTTGTGTCATGGGAAGGCTGAACAAATGGGTTTTCCACTAATTCCACACTCGACTCTTCAGCGATTTCCTCAGGGAACTAAAATCCTTTGAACTGAAAACAAAGAGCCAAAATTAGAACTTACCTTGTCTTTCAAAAGATACTCAACTTTATCCGAGGCTCCTTTAACGTCTTCCCGCTTTCCAATTTGTTCAAAAAAAGTCTAAATCGTTTCAGTTATAGCTTTTCTTGAACCACTTACATCATCGGCTGCTTTTTTCACCAGAGCTCTCATTTCATGGGGTTGATCACGAAAACCATCGATCTTCTGTGAATTTTATTAGCTTATTTTTGGAATAACTGCTACCGTTGTAGTTTCCAAATATCCTTGAACCAAAATATCAACCGAATCCTCACCTTGATTCAACTCATCCTAAATGACAATTTGAAAACGCACTATA